GTTAGTAGATATTTTTGGAACTTCAAAACAAATGCCCCTCAACAAATTATGTAAATAAAATTATTTTTTATTAAATAAAAGTATTTAATAAGATTTCATGTAAGAAAAAATTTTAAATTATTATTCATGTAAATTATTAAATTTAAATTTAAAATTTATATTTAAAAAATAAAAAAAATCAGTTTAACTCTATCGAAAATGAAACAGAGGAATAATAATTTAAATATTAAATAGATAAAAAAAAATACAGATGAAAATAACAGAAGAAATTCAAAAAATAAAATAAACCCACCACATGGACAGCAATTCGAAGATGGCTTCTTTGTTTCCATCTCCTCCAGACTGCCCCGTTGATTCAGCTCTCCTCCTCCTCTCCACCACACCTCCTTCTCTATCTCCTCTCAAGTAAATACCCGATCTCGTCTTTCCGTTTTGATTTCTGTGTCCGATCATGATTTCGCTTTCTTGTGTAAGTTGAATTCCAGTGCCGAGACATCAAAGGACAAAAAGAACAGTGAAGAGGGCTTGAGCGTGGCTTCTGTTGGATCGAAATCATCCTCTTCGTATCTCACCAGTGATATTCGCTCTAAGGAGGTTCGACCGCATAAGCTGAGCTTTGTCGCCGTTGAAACTAGCTGCCATGAACTCATGAAACTCGAGGTCGTGGCATTATCTGCATGTTATTTCTACTACTAGTTGCTTGTTAATTTAGTTGCTGATTTAGTTCAAATTTGATGAATATCTCAACGACTGAGTGATCTAAGCTTTAAATTTAGAAATAATCTAATTGGATTTGTGTTTGGCTCCATTGTATGGATGAATTAATTTTGGAAAGATGACTGTCCTAAAGCAGGAGGTAAATCCCTAGGGATCCATGTCCACAGCGGCATTGTGCTTGTCGAGCAGCTCCAATGCGATCTCAAGTGCACAAAGCATTTAAAACATCTCAAACAAATAAATACATTAGATATACAGTGGAATAATACCTAGTTCTAACAAATACATACTGCTAATATGAATGGTAATTGGCTTATTAAATTGAGATTGATGAATTAATTGGGTTTAGGAAAAGGGAATTAAATTAGATAATTTAGATTAAGGGCGTCTTTGGTATAGTGGTTAAAATTCAACGGATAATGGATAATGGATAGTGAAAAACAGATAACGGTACTGCGTAGTAGGTAGCGGTTAGTATATAGCGGATGACGGATAATAGAAAGTAAGTAACGAATAGTAAATAACGAATTCGATAAATATAACTATTTGGTTATACAATAGTTAACGATTATTATTTAACATTAAATGACTAATACGAACATATTAAAAACAAATAAGTGTATTTTTTAAAATATTTTTATTTTTATTATTAAAATTATTAATTTTATAAAAATAATAATAA